TCCCGTTGTGGTGATATTTTTCACAGCCATCATCACCAAAAATAAAAAAAAATCCCTTAATGATGGCCAGCATGAGTGATGGCAGCATCACAGTGACAGGACAGGCACCATCTTCCCAGCCCAGCTCTGTGCCTGGGGTCACACTGGGCCCACTGGGATTCACCCTTCTGAGGCTGTGGGTCAAACTGTGGAGCAGAGGGGCCCAGGGGACTCGGGGTGGCCTTTGACATCAGTGGTTTTGGGGCAGGCACGTACAGCCTGTGAACTCTCCCCACAGCTGGTCTTGTGTTCTCAGTCTACACAACCAGTTCAAAAACTGCTGCCTCTCAGCTTAGTTTAACCACCCACTTCATTGGGAGTGACTGTTCCTGCACACTCCTGTTCCCAGCACACCTATTTTATCCTCACAAAATGCCAGGCACTCCATGCCAGCTCTGCAGGCTTTGCTGGCAGATTCCATCTGAGACTGTGAAACAATCACACCATTTAGGAGGCCCCCCCAATGAATTCTTTTCCATTCCCACTGAGCCCCCATCCAAAACCTGCAAAACGTACTGGAGGTTTTCTCTTTGGCCCCACTGAGATTTGGAGCTGGCCCTCAGGAGCTGGCAGCTCCCCAGCCTGTCCAGCCCAGCAGGCTTTTTCACACCTCCACTAATCACACCAGAGAAACTCTCACCCTCCACCATCAACAGCCATTTCTAGAGCTCACTGGGAAGACAGTGTGGCAGGGACAGGTAGAAGCCCTGGCAAGCTGTGAGGCAAAAGTAGGGGAGGGTCAGAGCATCCTTTGTGGAAGAGATGGTTCCTGAAGGTGCTGGGAGGATACAGGAGTAAATAAAAGGCTTTCAGTGGCTGAACTGTAAAGTAGCTGGCTGGCAAAGTTAGGATTGTGTGTGCATGGATCACCTGCCCTCAAAATGCAAACAGCATATTCTGGGGATAGACAGCAGGATTTGGGACTGAAAAGTAAATTGCCTTGCAAGTCCTTGCCCTGTGTCACCTCACTTTTCATACTTCTCTCCTTTCTTACCTAATTTTTCAACATTTTCATTTTGTTATGCTCTTCTGGTCTTGCCTCATGCAGTAACTCCTTTCCTTTGGTTGCCCTCTTTGCCATTTCTCCAGGGCTACACCAGATGCTCATGTCCCATGTCCCTCCTCTCTGTCCTCCTCTCTCCTCCACAGCCCTGGTGTTCTCCAGTTTCTCTCTCCTCTTGCTCCCCTTTTTTCTTTTTCTCTAATTGCCCTCTCCAGCTCCCTCACCTCCTCCCATACCCACAGCCACCCTGCTGCCACCTCCTGGGCTGGCCCTGCCCTCAGGAAGCAAACCAACAGCTTCCTTGGCCAGCCCCAAGTCCTTGCCCTCTAGTGAATGCCACGGGTGGTCCCTGTCCAGCTCAGCCTTCCACATGCCTACAACACACATTTCCAGCCCAGTAACACCCAGCAGCCTTCAGTCCTAGCTACACACGGAAAAATTCTTTCAGATTGTTTTTACAGCAGGTAAAAAATCCTCTCTGTCTCTGGAGGAGGATCCTCCCTGCCCCAGCTGCTTACCTGGCTGTCTCCTTCACAGGTCAGACACAGGCGTGGGGTGGCATTGCTGGCAGAGCTTCCTGCCCTGGGGTGGGGATGGAGGAAAGGAGGGTTAGGAGGTGACCCCCTCACTGCCCAGAGGAGCTGCCCACTCCCTAGAGCAGCCCCGGGGTGCACGCAGTCACTGCAGGGCTGTATTTTTAACTGGGCCTATTTCAATTTAAAAATTTTAAATGATCCTTTTAGTCCTCTCCTGGTCATTTTCACCCATGATATAAAATGCTGTGTAAAGCTCGTGTGGCCCAAACCCTCCAGGACTTGTGAGCAGACATTCTCAAGCCCAAATTTCATAACTGCTTTGATTTTCACCCATGATATAAAATGCTGCATAAAGCTCATGTGGCCCAAACCCTCCAGGACTTCTGAGCAGACATCTCAAGCCCAAATTTCATAACTGCTTTGAACCTTTTCTTTCTTTTCCCTGCAGATGGAGGAGTAGCTCTGCTGAGTTCAGTTTCATTGAATATTTCCACGTGCTTTCAGAATAATATTGTAGCTGTCAGTAAGTTTTTTGTCACATTTTTCAGTCCCCTGGGCAGCGTGGGGTTTTGAAGAGTTTGGGAGCTTCTCCCTGTCACTCTCTGTCCCGTGCAACCTCCAAAGGGTTATCTCTCAAACTTTTGGCACACAAACACCCTCTCACCCCCCTCCCCCAGACACACACCCCTTTGCTCATCCCCAGGGAAACTGGAGCTCTTCTCCTACCCCAGAAAGGATGGAGAATCAGCTCTTCCCACCTCCTAGTTTACCTGTTGGAGGTGCTGTAGCTGGAGGTGTTGTCCCAGGAGAGGAGACCTCTCAAGGTGTCCACCCTGCCGGGGTCTCGGGTGGGGAGGGAGGGCTCCAGCCCCTGGCTGCTGGACCTGTTGCTTGTGCCAGACACTGCTCGGGAAGGCCGGGCCAGCTGCTTGGGCTCAGCAAAAGGATGGGCATCTGAGCCCCCAGGGTGGGCTTCTGAGCCCCCAGGGTGGGCTTCTGACCCCCCAGGGTGGGTGTCTGACCCCCCAGGGAGGGTGTCTGACCCCCCAACCAAAACCTGGCTCCAGTGCCGGCGTCGCCACGATGCTGGTGGGGCTGGCGGGGGTGCTGGTGGCAGCCACAGGAGAGGTGGGACCTTGTCCAGCAGGGAGACCAAGCAAGAAGCAGGGAGAGAGGAACAGAAAGAAGTTTATTGTCTGGGGTTGGTTTGGCACCGAGTGGGATTTGAAGGAATGTTTGCCCAGAAGAATCGTAGCTGTGACTTTTTTTTTCTTTAATTTTCAGACTGTTTCATCCTAAGTGGGAACCCAGCTGGAAAGTGAAGCAGCAAAGGCTGCTGCCTGAGTGATGGTCAAGTGAAATAATTAAAACTCAGTCTTGATGCTGTGCCAAAAATGCTGAGAAACGCATCTGCTTTGGGTATAAGCAAATTCTTGGAGCTTTTTACTGACCAAATACAATTAATATGTACCTGAAGGGCAAAAGCCACATTCAGAGGCAAATGTATTCCTTTATTTAGACAACAGTCTAATTGTACTTGCTTGTCTTTGGGAGCTCTCAGGTAGAGGATGTTGCATTTTAGTGTCTACATTGAAATTGTAATAACTGACAACCCTGTTGTATCTTTCTGGTGCCCTCCTGAGAAGAGGTTCCATCCCCTGGAGTGCTGCCCCCTGCCCTGGCTCCAAGAGTTCATCACCACCACTGCTGAGCTACAGCCACAGGAGTTACAGGAGTCACTCCCACTCCACACCTGCCCAACCACTCCGTGGGAAGGGGCTGGTAAGGAACCCCAACCTCTGCTCTCCATACCTGTGGGGTGGGGGTCAGCTGGTGCCTGTGAGGGCACAGGGGCTGTGGGGTCAGGCTGCTTTCTGCTCCCAGCTGCTGTTTTGGGTTGGCCTCGCTGAGCCACGGCAGCAGACTCGATCCTCGCCCAGTAAATGAAGTAGGACTGGACTATGGAGATGCTGTTAAGACAGAATGAGGCAAGAATTTACTGGCTCCTGAGCATTAATGAAACATCTGACTGTTTAGCTCGTCACAAGGACTGTTTTAATCTGAAGACAGAAGCTTTGCAGAAGTATTTTCAAATATTAGCCCATCACACGTTTTATATTCCAAATAAAAGAAACCAGGTGCTGTAAGAAAGATAGAGGGTGAAGAACCACCACTCCTAATTAAGATCAGCCAAAAAAAAGCTGTGTGGGAACTTAAATTAAAAAAGGAAAAGCTGTTATACTCACTGTGTTCATAGAAGTACATTTGGAAAAGTTGGGCCAGCTCTGCTTATAATCTTCCGTAGGCAGGGAGACAACAGTGGTATTTACTCATTAAAACAAGTCAATGCCACTTGTGCAAACAGCAGAATAGGTAGGGGGGACAAAAAACCCTCTCTCTTCTCAACCCTGTGATATTTGAGCCTGCCTGACCCTCTGCTTTTTGTCAGGTGCCAAGGCTGCCTTGGGCAGCCTTTATCCACCCCCAGAGCCTTATTTAAGCTGGAGATTTTGGGAGAGTTTCAGCTCAGATTGCTCAGCGGCTTCTGAGAATTAGCTGAGGGAGAAGCAGCCCGGGTTTTCCTGTGCCAATGATTCTTACAAGGCACTTTTTAAGCCTAGCAAGGAATTTTTTTAGGTGCTATGCTAGGGAGAAAAGGGAGAGGCCATCAGAAATCAGCTCGGGGGGGTGAAAAGCCAGAGGGTGAAGGAAGCATCAGAGCAGGTGGCTAGGAACAGGTCTTGTTGGGTTTGGTTTATTCTGTTGCTTGAGTTTTATGTGGTTTTAGTAGTAATTTCCAGTCTAAAACAATGGGCAAAAATTGGAAATACCAAGCAGTGATATTTCTGATTCAGTTAAGGCAGCCACACAGAAGACTTTTAGTTTCATTCCAGATCAGAACTAAAATACTTGGACAATTTGGGACTTTGGTGCAAAACAGAGACATCAGTTTTTGACCCAGGTTTTGACTCAATCTCTCTTCCTAATGCAAATAATTCTCTTTGCTTTTAACTTTAAAATAATCACTTTTTTTTTTTTTCCTTAAAGAAGTGACATACAAGATTATCCTGTAGGCAGGGAAGCCCTGCAGGGTGTGTTATTTAGAAACAGGCACTATGATCAAAGTTTTCTCTTTATGCTTTAATATTTCTAATATTAATATTATAATAATTATAATATTTCCAATGTTAAAATAGGCTGCAATCTTCCAGTGGATTTGTTCTGAGAAAACAGTGACCACGTACATAAAAAGCAGATAGAAATGGTGATTTATGTGCCAGCTGGGATGCTGTTGCAGCATTTAATAATTATTTAGCTACACAGGGCTCAAGATCCATAAATCACCGTGCTGGCCAAGTACGACGGGCAAATGAAGCCACTGAGAAGACACAAATTCTGGTTAGGAACCAGCGTGTTCTTACAAGAACTTGATGTCTCCAATGGGTTGGGCTGGTGCTTTCCACACAAAGGAGAGGTTTCTCTTCAGTGACTTGTCTGAGTGGGTGACGGTGTCACCTCCTTCAGAACAAGTGAGGAGCTTGGAGCCAGGAGGGATGAAGATGAAGGTGCCAGTGATTTCATCGGTGGGCACTCTGCGAGCTTGGAGCAAGAAGCCCATAAAATCCCGAGTGCTCCTCACTGTCACTGCAAGACAAAACCCGAGACACAGAGGTTGGTCTCATAGTTTTGGGGTGAATTGTTTGCAGTGGAGTCGCCAGGGGTAGCGCCGAAACCAAACGAAAACTTTGTGCAGCAACAACAACAGCAAAATCATCTTATTTTGTCCTCGCTTGGACAGGCTGGATGCAGCAGCCCAGGCTTCAGCTGGGAGGCACACACAAAATTTACTTGAGTCTTTACTCCCCCCTTGACTAGAAGCTGCTGGCCACACCACCTTAGGCAGCATGGAGCTGTTTTTAAGCTGCAAGGTTTGAGGACCCCCCCCCCCCCCCCCTATAGATACACAAAATCCTGTGTGCTGTCGCTTGGGATTAATTATTTCCCAGCGGCAGGAAGGAGAAGCTGGTCTTTACCTGGAACCTTGTCCCCTGGCCAGAAGGAGGACACGTTGGTGTGGAGGGCGAGGTGGGTGCTGCTGGGGCTGTGCAGCTGCACACGCAGGTGCCCGGGCGTCATGTTGGCGCAGGAGGAGAGGCCGGCGCCGTGCGAGAAGGCGCCCGCGCAGGACGCCAGGCACAAGGCTGTGCACACCCAGCCAACGGCGCCCACCCGGGCTCTCCTGCCACCCTCCATCCTGCAGCCCAGGGCAACGGGCACCTCAGGGCAGCAGCTTCAGCAGCCTGGGAGCTCGGCCGGCGCCTGGGAACGAGCCGCGCTCCGGAGCCGCCCTTGCCGCAACCTGCGGGCGAAGGAGAGTCGCTGATCCCCGTGGTGCACGGAGCCACCTCAGCAACCCACAGCAGAGGAAGTCTGTCCTGGAGGCTGGCAGGGGAGGGGCCCCCACCCACAAGAGGATGAGTTTCTCATGGGGTCACCCATGGACAAGTCGCTCTAAAAAGTCTTGAGGAAGTTAGGAGGAGGAGGAAGCTCCGTACAGCCGCACCCGGCACCCTCCACCCACCACCCCCAGCCCACATCACACCCTGAGCAGTGGAGGGAACATCCACCCTCACGTCACCCATGGACAAGTCACTCTAAAAAGTCTTGAGGAATGGAGGAGGAGGAGGAAGGTCCATACAGCCGCACTCGGCACCCTCCACCCACCACCCCCAGCCCACATCACACCCTGAGCAGTGGAGGGAACATCCACCCTCACACCTCAGAGCTGCTGCAGAGCCCCTTCCCCACAGGGCTGCTGCCCAGCACAGAGCTGATGCTGAGATTTCTACTAGTTCTCCAATTTTTAATCCACGCGAGCATTTTCTTCCCAGCACTGTTGAGGTTTAAACATTTGGTATGTTGGTGGCTGGCACAAAACCCGTTTCCAGATTAGCTGCAGGGTTGTGTTATTGTGATTTTTTTTTTCAAATTTTCCATTTGAAAGCAAAGCTGAGGGATGAGGGTGTGGTATTAATTGTAATGGAGCTTCTAAGGCAGGTAGTCCTGCTTCTGTTGTAGGGCTCTCTAACATCTTTTCAGCATGCAGCTTTTCCTGGCTTAGATTTCATTATGCTTTGTCAATAAGCAGATGTAAATACATCAGAGGAAGCCAGAGGCTGAGGAGCTCTTGCTTACACCTCTGTCTTGAGCATGCCTCACGCCTGAAACTCACCCTCTGACTCTAACAAACCCAACAACACAGTGTGTGCCCAGCCTGAAGCAGAGGGATGCAATTTAACCTCCCACAGCCCAACATCATCCCCCTCCAAAGTGCCAGAAGGTGCTGATGGGGACTCAGGAGCCTTCCCCAACCAACCTCCCTCACTCGTGGAGTCACCCCCTCTCCCTTGCTGGACACCATTTCTTGCAGGAGCTCAGGGAAGCACCCCCGAGGGGCAGCTCTGTCC